GGTGTTAGTCGACGTACTGTCCAACGGATTCTAAAGGCCCATAGTTTTCATCTGTATAAAATTCACCTGGTACAAGAACTTAATGAAGACGATTTTAATCGGCGATTACAATTTTGTGAAGATATGAGTGAACGAATTATAACCGATGAACATTTCCTATTCAACACTTGCTTTTCCGACGAATGTTGCTTTTTCTTGAATGGCGTAGTAAATCGTCATAACTGCCGATATTGGTTCGATTCTAATCCCAGAATTTATCATGAGGTTCATACACAGCAGCCACAAAAATTAAATGTTTGGGCTGGTATTTTTGGCGATCATTTAGTTGGTCCTTTTTTATTACCTGGAAATTTGACCGGTGAAATGTATTTGGAATTACTGGAAGACGCCATAGATCCTGCATTAACAGCCATAATTGAAAATCGGAATGATCGGCGGTACATTGCGAATAGGTTGATGTTCCAACAGGATGGTGCCCCACCACATTACGCATTACGTGTTCAACAATATTTAGATCAGACGTTTCCAGATCGATGGATTGGTAGAAGAGGTGCCATTGAATGGCCTTCAAGATCGCCAGATTTATCACCTTTGGATTTCTTTATGTGGGGTCATTTAAAAAGCAAAATCTATGCTACTCAGCCAACATCATTAGAAGACCTGCGACAAAGAATTGTGAATGAGTGCCTTCAAATTACTCCTCAAATATTGCAAAATGTGCGGCAACGTTATGAGCAAAATCTTTATTATTGCATGGAGAGTCATGGTGGCCATTTTCAACTATTTACTTGCCTAACGGGTCAGTTCATTCTTCATTTTTAAATTACTTTGCTGCCAAATGTATTGATCTCCACTAATGATGATGTATTAGTTTTATTAAGCTTTAAATGTATTGATCTCCACTAATGATGATGTATTAGTTTTATTTAAGCTTTAAATCAATAAATCTTCAAAACTACTGAACTGAAGTACATTAATTATACATCATTATAAAGGGAATTTGAAGACCTTTAAAATAACGTATCACTCGACCTCCCTTTCCATTTAAGGTTTTGGGGGCTGGTGTCACCCCCGCTTAGGGGGCTGCACGTGCTAACGTGATTTTTTCCAAACTTGTGTCCCCCTCGAAAACAAAATCGACGGGTCTGAGCGTTTTTAAAAAAAAACTGAGCTGCCAGTAAATGCGTCTGTTACGTTTTCGATGCGCCACCCTGTATAAATATCTTAGAAAATGTACAAAGAAAATTTCTTAAATACTGTGCTTATAAAATCGATGGCACCTATCCAGAAAAGGGGGTCTCTCAATTTGTTCTGCTGCGTCGTTTTGAACTAGAGTCTCTACAGTTAAGACGTTCCACTGCTGGCCTGTCATTCCTTGATCAGTTTTTGCACGACAGAGTGGATGCACTAGAACCTCTCCAGAGGTTAAATTTCTGTATCCCACGGTTAAATACGAGAAGAACTCTAACTTTCTACTGCACCTCCCGTACCAATGTATCATTTTATTCTCCGCTACATTCTATATGCAACAATTATAATTCCATAGCAGACAGTTATGACATTAATTTTGATTGTATCAGTAAGATCTTGTCGAATTTCAGGTACTATTATAACAGCTAATTCTGTTTTTAAGCTAGTTTTGCCATGAAATCACAGGTCAAAACAATCATAAAGACATTCATATCAAAAGGAGATCCAAACCTGATACCACAGCAGTATAATGAATATTGTTATCAGCAATTCCGCTTTTACTGAAAGATGTGACACAGGTACCTTTTGACTGCAATTTACAAGAAAACAACCAATCATTATACTTAAGACCAATGACTGTTGATGAAGTGTGTGAACTGTCGAGGAGGATAAAAAATAAATTCAGCTGTGGTATAGATGATGTTCCAACAACAATAGTAAAACTTTCCATTCCAGTTTTAAAACATGTTTTGTGCTTACTTATTAATATGCTTTTAGACAAGGATCATTCCCAGAGAATTTCAAAATAGCTGTTATAAAACCAATTTTTAAAAAAGGTAATCCAGGCAATTGGAAAATTATAGGCCAATCAATATTTTAACAGGTT